AGTCCTGGTTTGAGTCCTGGTTTGAGTCCTGGTTTGAGTCTATTCTTAGCTCTGGATTAGTCCTGGTTTAGCCCTTGTTTTAGTCCTGGTTTAGACCTGGAATAGACCTGGTATAAACCTGGAATAAACCTGGTTTATAGCTGGGTTAGACCTGGGTTAATCCTGGTTTAGACCTGGTTTACACCTGGTTTAGACCTGGTTTAGACCTGGTTTACACCTGGTTTACACCTGGTGATACACAAACCAAATCTTTTCTTTGGTGTCACTTGTTGAGAAAAGTTTGAGCGCCTTTGTTCTAGAAAAACAACATCACCATGGAGACAGACGTCCATCTCTAATGTTACATAATGCATCTTTAAACATGTAAATTAAAAAAACAAACAAAAAACAAAAAAACACTACGACTTTCAACATTTTCTCCTAAACTCAAATTAAACTGAAAACGTCAGAAAAGTGCATTTTTACACAAGGAAAATATTTGTGTTTTGTACTTGAACTTTTTAAAAGTACTCGATTTTGTTACTTAAGTAAAAGTACAGATAAAAGGGCAAAAAATTACTCAAGTAAAACTAAAATTATCAGATAAAAATCTACTCGAGTAAATGCTGAAGTACCCATTTAGAGTAAAAAGTATTTCCCGTAGATTATGAAAACTTTAAAGTGACTGATATTGATTTAAAAAACTGTACAAACTTATTTTTTTCTCAACACTACCAATTCAATTCAGTTTCTTTAAAGCTGCACTATGTAATTTTTCTCGTAGATGGCCCACCAGTTGCTTGTTTCCATGGAAATCGTTACTGCTTTGCCTGCAATGTTCCAAACTCTGGCATTAAATTCATCAATCTCCATAGAGACGAGGTATTTTTGAGCACTGAACCTCCCATAACTGAATTAATGCCTCTTATATAAGTTTAATGCCGTATTGTGTAACATTATGGGTAAAGAAACTCTAATGGAAAAGTTACACACTGCACCTTTATTTGTTCTGTGGAATTTCATGTGTATGTTTTTGTTTGCTTAAAGGCGGGACGTGAACTCAAAACCTTTTGTCCTGGTTCAGACCTGGTTTAGACCAGTCTTAATCCTGGTTTAGATCTGGTTTAGACCCGGTTTAACCCTTGTTTTAAGTCCTGGTTGTAGTCCTAGTTTAGTCCTATTTTAGTCCAGATCTAGTCCTGTTTTAGTTCTTGTTTAGTCCTGGTTTAGTCCTTGGTTTAGTCCTGGTTTAGTCCTTGGTTTAGTCCTTGGTTTAGACCTGGTTTAGTCCTTGGTTTAGACCTGGTTTAGTCCTGGTTTAGTCCTGGTTTAGTCCTTGGTTTAGTCCTTGGTTTAGACCTGGTTTAGTCCTTGGTTTAGACCTGGTTTAGTCCTTGGTTTAGACCTGGTTTAGTCCTGGTTTATTCCTGGTTTTCATGTATATTTTATTTGCTCAAAGCTGGACTGAACTCAAAACTCAAAACTTTTATCCGGATGTAACATGAATGTGCTAAAACAGACATGTCAAACTCAGGCCTGGGGGCCAAATTTGGCCCATAATATAATTATATTTGTCCCGTGAGATCAAATCAAATCTGTATTAGAGCTGCCGCCGCACACACATAGACTATAGAGACATGATTTATTTAAAATGTTGTTATTTTATATTGTTTGTTCTGGATTCAATGTTTCAGTAAAACTTTTATTAAACATTTATTTGAATAAGAAAAGTTTTAACATTACAGATCTCGAAAGAAGAGAAAACATACAAATGTTATTGAAATTTTTCGTTTGGCCCACGACTTAGTCCCAGATTTTAATTTTGGCCCAATGTGAATTAGAGTTTGACTCTCTTGTGCTAAAATAATCCCTCAAATCATATAAAAATGTACTTAACTTTACTTTTCAGTCCAGTTTTTAAAATAGTACAGATCCCTGCTCTTAAATGTCATGAAGTAAAAGTAAAAAGTATAAACAGTAAAATTCACTTAAAAGGTGGATTATGTAACTTTTATCTAAAAATGACCTACATACATAAAAACTTTAAAGTAATTCTGCAGAGTACTTTTAAATTTTTGTTTTGTACTCCACCAGTAGTAGTCGTAGTAGTCATAGTAGTAGTAGTAGTAGCAGCAGCAACAGTAGTAGTAATAGTACAGTAGTAACAGTAGTAACAGTAGTAACAGTAGTAGTAGTAGTAGTAGTAACAGTAGTAGTAGTAGTAGTAGTAGTAGTAGTAGTAGTAGTAGTAGTAGTAGTAGTAGTAGTACAGTAGTAACAGTAGTAGTAGTAGTAGTAGTAGTAGTAGTAGTAGTAGTAGTAGTAGTATAGTAGTAACAGTAGTAGTAGTAGTAGTAGTAACAGTAGTAGTAGTAGTAATAGTAACAGTAACTAGTAGTAGTAGTAGTAGTTAGTAAGTAGTAGTAGTAGTAGTAGTAGTAGTAGTAGTACAGTAGTAGTAGTAGCAGTAGTAGTAGTAGTAGTAGTAGTAGTAGTAGTAGTAGCAGTAGTAGTAGTAGTAGTAGTAGTAGTAGTAGTAGTAGTAGTAGTAGCAGTAGTAGTAGTAGTAGTAGTAGTAGTAGTAGTAACAGTAGTAGTAGTAGTAGTAGCAGTAGTAGTAGTGCAGTAGTAGTAGTAGTAGTAGTAGTAGTAACAGTAGTAGTAGTAGTAACAGTAGTAGTAGTAGTAGTAGTAGTAGTAGTGCAGTAGTAGTATTAGTAGTGTAGTAGTAGTAACAGGAGTAGTAGCAGTAGTAGTAGTAGTAGTAACAGTAGTAGTAGTAGTGCAGTAGTAGTATTAGTAGTGTAGTAGTAGTAACAGGAGTAGTAGCAGTAGTAGTAGTAGTAGTAGTAGTAGTAGTAGTAGTAGTAGTAGCAGTAGTAGTAGTAGTAGTAGTAGTAGTAGTAGTAGTAGTAGTAGTAGTAGTAGTAGTAGTAGTAGTAGTAGTAGTAGTAGTAGTAGTAGTAGTAGCAGTAGTAGTAGTAGTAGTAGTAGCAGTAGTAGCAGTAGTAGCAGTAGTAGTAGTAGTAGTAGTAGTAGTAGTAGTAGTAGTAGTAGTAGTAGTAGTAGTAGTAGTAGTAGTAGTAGCAGTAGTAGTAGCAGTAGTAGTAGTAGTAGTAGTAGTAGTAGTAGTAGTAGTAGTAGTAGTAGTAGTAGTAGCAGTAGTAGTAGTAGCAGTAGTAGTAGTAGTAGTAGTAGTAGTAGTAGTGCAGTAGTAGTAGTAGTAGTAGTAGTAGTAGTAGTAGTAGTAGTAGTAGTAGTAGTAGAAGTAGTAGTAGTAGTAGTAGTAGTAGTAGTAGTAGTAGTAGTAGTAGTAGCAGTAGTAGTAGTAGCAGTAGTAGTAGTAGTAGTAGTAGTAGTAGTAGTAGTAGTAGTAGTAGCAGTAGTAGTAGTAGTAGTAGTAGTAGTAGTAGTAGTAGTAGTAGTAGTAGTAGTAGTAGTAGTAGTAGTAGTAGTAGTAGCAGTAGTAGTAGTAGTAGTAGTAGTAGTAGTAGTAGCGTAGTAGTAGTAGTAGTAGTAGTAGTAGTAGTAGTAGCAGTAGTAGTAGTAGTAGTACAGTAGTAGTAGTAGTAGTAGTAGTAGTAGTAGTAGTAGTAGTAGTAGCAGTAGTAGTAGTAGTAGTAGTAGTAGTAGCAGTAGTAGTAGTAGTAGTAGTAGTAGTAGTAGTAGTAGTAGTAGTAGTAGTAGCAGTAGTAGTAGTAGTAGCAGTAGTAGTAGTAGTAGCAGTAGTAGTAGTAGTAGTAGTAGTAGTAGCAGTAGTAGTAGTAGTAGTAGTAGTAGTAGTAGCAGTAGTAGCAGTAGTAGTAGTAGTAGTAGTAGTAGTAGTAGTAGCAGTAGTAGCAGTAGTAGTAGTAGTAGTAGTAGTAGTAGTAGTAGTAGTAGTAGTAGCAGTAGTAGTAGCAGTAGTAGTAGCAGTAGTAGTAGTAGTAGTAGTAGTAGTAGTAGTAGTAGTAGTAGCTAGTAGTAGTAGCAGTAGTAGCGTAGTAGTAGTAGTAGTAGTAGTAGTAGTAGCAGTAGTAGTAGTAGTAGTAGTAGTAGTAGTAGTAGTAGTAGTAGTAGTAGCAGTAGTAGCAGTAAGTAGTAGTAGTAGTAGTAGTAGTAGTAGTAGTAGTAGTAGCAGTAGCAGTAGCAGTAGTAGTAGTAGTAGCAGTAGCAGTAGTAGTAGTAGTAGTAGTAGTAGTAGTAGTAGTAGTAGTAGCAGTAGTAGTAGTAGCAGTAGTAGTAGTAGTAGTAGTAGTAGTAGTAGTAGTAGTAGTAGCAGTAGTAGCAGTAGTAGTAGTAGTAGTAGTAGTAGTAGTAGTAATATACATAATATTTCGTAACACACTTTCACCTGTTACACAAATGACAGGTTTATTTCACAATCCAAACGACAATCCTGGAGAAACTGTAAACATCCAAATATTTAGACCTGGTTTAGTCCTGGTTTAGTCCTGGTCTAGTCCTTGTTTAACCTTGGTTTAGTCCTAATTCAGAGCTTGCTTTAGTCCTGGTCTAGTCCTGGTTCAGTCCTGGTTCAGTCCCGTTTTTAGTCCTAGTTTAGCCCTTGTTTTAGTCCTAGTTTTAGCCCTGGTTCAGTCCTTGTTCAACCCTGGTTTAGTCCTGGTTTAGTCCTGGTTTGGTTCTAGTTTAATCTTGTCTTATTTATTTCACAATCCAAACTCACTTTCTTCACCTGGATAAACTACAAACACCAAAATATTAAACTTAAAACCAAATTAAAGCAAAATTTGCGGATTACGACGTTTAAAAAAGAACATTTAAACCATAATAACAATGAAAATTCGTCAAAAATCAACTTGAGGTTTGGTCCAAAGCCGATGGCGTGAGGCTGCTTCTCCTACAGCACCTTTTTTCGTTATTTTTTTGGCACTTTTTCTGCGTTTAAATGTCAGAAAGAGGCGAAACGTGCACTTTTATCGCGTTTGGATCGATTACAGCGCTAGAAATGTTTATATTTTTGGTCCGATCGTGGTCAAAAGTCGCGTAAAACCTCGTCGGAGCGCACCTTTTTGACTTACCTGCATACCAGGAACTTCCATGGCTGAACGCTGATTCCAACTCGTCGCCTCTCCTCCCTCCTCCTCTGCAGCTTTATCCGACGAATCCCGAATCCGCGACAGTAATTCCGAAATGGAGCGGGTCCCGAACGAACGAACGGAACGAACAAACAAACAAACAAACGCGAAAGTTCAGAGAAAATCCAAACGTGCGAACCGAGGAGCCGCGGTGGAAGAGCCGAGCGAACGGGGGACGCGCTTCAAGGCTGGAGTTTGGTGAAAAGTGCTCAGAGAAAGTCAAGTCACGGCCCACTTTCAGGGAGGAGCCAGGAGCCGCCGTGTCAAGGAAGAAAATACAGAAAAAAAAAACAGATATTACCCCATCTGCTGGACGTTTAGGGACATTTTTAAGAGTAATAGTAACGATCTTAACCATATAAAGCCTGACACGCGAAATAATGGGCAGAAAATTCAGATTATTTGATATTTTACTCTTTATCGGACCTTTGAACAAAATGTAAAACAAAAACAAAAAATTATGATAACTTTTTAGATTTTTAGAAATAAAAAAGTGTATCGTATTTGATATATTGGGCCTTCGTGGACATTTTATAGAACCCAAACATGAAATAATGGACTGAAAATTCAGAATATTTGAGATTTAACTTTTATCAGACTTTGAACAAATTGTAAAAAAAAAAAAAAAAAAAAAGTATAACTTTGACCATTTTATAAACAAAGAATGTATCGTATTTGATACATTGGGCCTTCGTGGGCATTTTATCGAACCCAACCATGTTTATTTTAGGACCAAACAAAATTTTCTGAACATTTCTTTTTCTGTTTTTAAATGTCTGAACAGGATTATTTTTATTTTGCCGTGTGGAGGCTGGAGTTTGGTGAAAAGTGCTCAGAGAAAGTCAAGTCACGGCTCATTTTCAGGGAGGAGCCAGGAGCTGCCGTGTCAAGAAAGAAAATACAGGGAAAAAAAAACAGATATTACCCCATCTGCTGGATGTTTACGGACATTTTTAAGAGTTATGTTGCTTTAAAATTATATTACTCCTGTACAAAGGCAGAAGATCTTAACTCTCCTCTCTCAGAGTGACCAGACACCAGACAGTAGTTAGAGTTTTGTGATATTTACATTGAAATAAATTAAGCAAATGATAACAAACAAAGACAAGAACAACAAAACAACAAAATATAATGTTGTCTGGGTGTTGATTAAGCAGAAAGAAACCAGTCCAGTGATTGCAGTTTGTGTCTATAATCCACCATGATGCAGTTAGTGCTGATAGTTACTTTAATCCAAGGTAATGTAGTTAATCCAGGTTGAGAGCATTTGTCCCAAGGTAAAGTATTTAATCCAGGGTCCAGTAAATGGAAAAAAATAATTGGGTTTCTCCTACCATGAATTAGCTCAGCATCAGGGTGTGTCTTAATTAAGTTGAAGGATGTAGGTTCTTTGATTTTGTGATGAATCAGTCCATTACAAAAAAGGCCAAAAAGAACATAGATGAATATCATGTAATTAAAATGAAGTTACAAGGTCTAAACTATCTCAATATTAATACAATGTATTTACAAACATTCAAGAATCAAATATAAGTGAATAATCCATATTCAGTTCACCAATATCTCATCAAAATACACATTCATACTAATTAATTAAATTTAATTTTAGTCATTGAAATGAACATGAAATCTGTGTTTTCATAATCAAAAAGTTATCAAACATACCCAAGCAGAGATCAAAATCAGCTCAAAATATTGCACAATATCAGTATATTAAAGTAAAATATGCTGCATTTAAATCAATAATAAACAAACGCCACCGGAGTTTCAGGAAAGACTAGATAACATGGGAATTGGAGAGGAAACTGTACATTGAGCCAAAAATAAGTTTTAGTGCAAAGGCCAAAAGCTGTAACTGACATGACCATTATTTGTTTGATTTTGTCTAGACTTTCATAAGAACTCGTCACCAAGCTGGAGTCATCATGGAGTTTGTGTGAAATGATCTAGAAGAAGAGTTTTGCATTTCCTGTTTAGTTCTGATTAGGATCATGCGGCGACACTTAAACTTAAACAGTTTAGTACAGTATGAATAAATACACACAATACTTTCACTTTAAACATCACTGAAGTATAATTGAATACAAAGGTTTATTTATTTAATGCGTTCAGACCCTGAGCCAAGACCACAGCAAAAAGAAGGAGGCGAGACGTTAGATTTGAAAATAAAATATATTTATGAACTAAATCACAATCTAAACACACACAGTTACCATTGGGTAATGTTGTTTTATGAATGAGACAAAACAAGCTATGGAAATAAAAATAGTTTTTCTTCCAAATAAATTGATTTGAAGGGGGGAAAAAAGAAAAAGAAAGAAAGAAGAAATGTATTTGCAATTGTTTTGTGTGTGTTTTTTTTTTTTTTTTTTAACGCAGTCGCCTGAAAAATGCAAATAGTAAATTTTTTTTCTCTTGTTTTATTTTTATTACAGCTACAATAACAGATACTTCATTTTAACTACTTCAAACAAAGGAGACATAAAAAGAAGTTAAAATGATGTCGAAGTTTTCTTTTTTATATTATTATTAATTAAGAGTCATTATTATTTGATTAATGTATTTCTATTTTATATATATATATATATTTATATTTACATGTGACGTCACCCGGAAGTGCGGTCATAAATGTTTTTATTATTATTATTATTATTATTATTATTATTATTATTATTATTATTATTATTATCATCATCATCATCATCATCATCATCATCATCATCATTATTATTATTATTATTATTATTATTATTTAACTTTAACTTTTTTTTTATATTTACACGTGACGTCACCCGGAAGTGCAGTTAGGGGGCGGAGGGGGAGACAAGATGGCGTCGCTCCGCTGTCGGCGCGATCCCTGCGGCGTCATTTGTCTGATTTTAACTTATTTCAGCGTGTTTTATGCGGACTACGTGGTCATACAGTACGTCCTCATCCCCGCCTACTCCGACAGGTCTGTAGTTTGTGTTTTTATTCACCTTTAACGCCTCAAAAGTCGTCGTGGCGTCGCTGGTCATTCATTTGACAGAAAAACAAAACAGGTTCCTCCGGCGCCGCAGCTTCATCAGCGATTTACAACACGATACTTCCTCAAAATCTCGCTTTTATTTCACTAAAACACGCTTCAGGCTTTTAAAAAATGGTTATTCGTGTGTTTTATGTCTCAAAACGGCCTTGTAAACACGTGTTGCTGCTTTGTTTACCATTTACATCTGTTGTTTTTGCCTCAACAACACTGATATAAACAGTGTTGGGAAGTTTACTTTTAAAATGTAATCCCCTACAGATTACAGATTACACACACCAAAATGTAGTTTGTAACGGAATCCATTAAATTACTTAAAGTGAGTAATGTAATCTGAATACTTTGGATTACTTGACGAAGACGAGGAAAGCTCACACATCACAATATTTTATAATAATTCAGCTTCTATTTCCTGTATTTCTACCTAAAGTTACGACTAGGATACTGAAATTGTTGTTTATTGCATACAAAATGTTTTTCTTGTGTTTTTTTAACCATGCTTTAATACACAGAGGTGGTAGAGTAGCCAAAAACTGTACTCAAGTAACTCTAGTAATCAGAGTAATGTTACTTTTTTTATAAAATTACTCACGTGGAAGTAAAAAGTAGTGGTCCAAGAAATTACTCAAGTTAGAGTAACTTAGAGTAAAGAGTAAAGAGTGTCGGGGCTTTGCGAGTGTCTACTTTTTAATTGAAAATTGTATTTATTTATTTATTTATTTTGGGCAAGTAGAGATTTATAATCTTATACAATGGAACATATAACATAAGTGAAATCGTAACAGAAAAAAAATAACCACAACAAAAAATGTGCCCAAAAAGGAGTGGGAAGAAGAAAACTTGTTTAATCCCACCCCCCAAGTTCGTTTAAATAGAAGGACATTCATACAAAATATTAAATAAAGCACAAAATCTGGGATTTAGTCAAAGCACAGACACAAAAATGAGACAAACTGAATCAGATCTGAAGGAGCTGCAAGAAACACTTTAGACTCACTCACAGTGACAAGAGGAAGCACAACTTTGACTCAAGTAACAGTACTGTTACTGCAATACAAATAGTAATCAAGTATGAGTAAAAGTACACTACTAGAAAAGTACATTTTCTTTTAAAAAGTGAATGTAACTGAGTACTTTCCACCTCTGATAATGGGTTATATGTTCATCTTCTCTCACTGCCTTTAGATTTAGACTTAGAGTTATAATAGAAATAGAAAAATAATGTAAGTGTGTGTTTGTGGTGTGTTTGTGGTGTGTTTGTCGTGTGTTTGTCGTGTGTTTGTCGTGTGTTTGTCGTGTGTTTGTCGTGTGTTTGTCGTGTGTTTGTCGTGTGTTTGTTGTGTTTGTGTTGTGTTTGTCGTGTGTTTGTCGTGTGTTTGTTGTGTGTTTGTCGTGTGTTTGTCGTGTTTTGTTTTGTGTGCGTTTGTGGTGCGTTTGTGGTGCGTTTGTGTGTTTGTGGTGCGTTTGTGTGCGTGTTTGTCGTGCGTTTTGTCGTGCGTGTTTGTCGTGTGTTTGTCGTGTGTTTGTTGTGTGTTTGTCGTGTGTTTGTCGTGTGTTTGTGGTGTGTTTGTGGTGCGTTTGTGGTGCGTTTGTGGTGCGTTTTGTGGTGCGTTTGTGGTGCGTTTGTGGTGTGTTTGTCGTGCGTTTGTCGTGCGTTTGTCATATGTTTGTCGTGTGTTTGTCGTGTGTTTGTCGTGTTTGTCGTTTGTCTTGTGTTTGTGTGCGTTGTCGTGTGTTTGTCGTGTGTTTGTCGTGTGTTTTGTGTTTGTCGTCGTTTGTCGTGTGTTTGTTCGTGTGTTTGTCGTGCGTTTGTCGTGCGTGTTTGTCGTGTGTTTGTCGTGTGTTTGTGTGTGTTTGTCGTGTGTTTGTCGTGTGTTTGTCGTGTGTTTGTCGTGTGTTTGTCGTGCGTTTGTCGTGCGTTTGTCGTGTGTTTGTCGTGTGTTTGTCGTGTGTTTGTCGTTGTCGTGTGTTTGTCGTGTGTTTGTCATGTGTTTGTCGTGTGTTTGTCGTGTGTTTGTCGTGTGTTTGTCGTGCGTTTGTCGTGCGTTTGTCATGTGTTTGTCGTGTGTTTGTCGTGTGTTTGTCGTGTGTTTGTCGTGTGTTTGTCGTGTGTTTGTCGTGCGTTTGTCGTGCGTTTGTCGTGTGTTTGTCGTGTGTTTGTCGTGCGTTTGTCGTGCGTTTGTCATGTGTGTTTGTCGTGTGTTTGTCGTGCGTTTGTCGTGTGTTTGTCATGTGTTTGTCGTGTGTTTCCAGCGTGTGGTGCACTCTCCACGGCTCGGTGTTTAACCTGATCCTGCTGCTGCTCCTCGCCTGTCATTCCAAAGCCGTCTTCTCCGACCCCGGTAAAACAACAGGATTTTTCAATAAAACTGTACAAAAATATAACATCTCGTCACATCGTCTGTCTGCTTGGAGATTAATTTTATTTCTTTTTATGGTTCCAGGGATGGTGCCTCTTCCAGAAACCGCCATTGACTTCTCAGATCTGCGCTCTCAGTCGTCTCGGATGAATGACCGGGTCAGTGTCCAGGCTCAGAAAATGTCAAGTTTATTTAAAATATTTACACATATGACCACGGAATTTTAATTTAGCATTTTAGTAACTGTTGTCTTAATTCCACTTTCTGTATAATTGGTAAATGAAGGAGAAAAAAGTTTATTTACATTGTATTGTTTACGTAGCACTGTGGATCGTGCACATGAATCTGGAACAACAGAAAGTGTCGAATCGAAAATCTGATACTAATCGAGATAAAAACTAGTATTCAAACCAGAAACTAATTTTTCGTAGGTATCGATAGGACTAAACTAGGACTAAACCAGGACTAAACTAGGACCAAACCAGGTCTAAATTGGGATTAAACCAGGTCAAAACTAGGTCAAAACTAGGACTAAACCAGGACTAAACCAGGACTAAACTAGGATTAAACTAGGATTAAACCAGGTTTAAATGCGGACAAAATAAAGTCCAAACCACGTCTAAACTAGGATTAAACCAGGTTAAAACTAGGGCTAAACCAGGTCCAAACCAGGACTAAATTAGGACTAAACTTTGATTAAAACACATCTAATCAGAGAATTACTGTATTTCAGATGACAATAGTTTTGTCAAAATCACATCCTAATAGATACTAAAACCAGTAACGAAACTGGTTTAGACCTGGTTTAGTCCTGGTTTACCTGGTTTACCTGGACCTGGTTTTACCTGGTTTAGACCTGGTTTAGACCTGGTTTAGACCTGGTTTAGCCCTGGTTTAGTCCTGGTTTAGTCCTGGTTTAGACCTGGTTTACCTGGTTTACCTGGTTTCCTGGTTTAGTCCTGGTTTACCTGGTTTAGACCTGGTTTAGTCCTGGTCCTGGTTTAGACCTGGTTTAGTCCTTAGACCTGGTTTATTCCTGGTTTAGACCTGGTTTAGACCTGGTTTAGACCTGGTTTACCTGGTTTCCTGGTTTAGACCTGGTTTACCTGGTTTTACCTGGTTTAGACCTGGTTTAGACCTGGTTTAGTCCTGGTTTAGACCTGGTTTAGACCTGGTTTACCTGGTTTAGACCTGGTTTAGACCTGGTTTAGTCCTGGTTTACCTGGTTTAGACCTGGTTTACCTGGTTTAGACCTGGTTTACCTGGTTTAGACCTGGTTTAGACCTGGTTTAGACCTGGTTTAGACCTGGTTTAGTCCTGGTTTAGACCTGGTTTAGTCCTGGTTTAGTCCTGGTTTAGTCCTGGACCGCTGAGGGATTACACAGATATAAGGACACATGGGAATAGAAAAGAAAGTTTTGCGATTTAATGTTGGAAATCACACTATATTGTCTAAAGAAACATATTTTTTGTGTGTGTCGTGTGTGTTGTGTGTCGTGTGTGTGTCGTGTGTGTCGTGTGTGTCGTGTGTGTCGTGTGTATCGTGTGTGTCGTGTGTGTCGTGTATTGTGTGTGTCGTGTATTGTGTGTGTGTTGTGTGTCGTGTGTGTCGTGTGTCGTGTGTGTCGTGTGTGTCGTGTGTGTCGTGTGTGTGTGTCGTGTGTCGTGTGTCGTGTGTGTCGTGTGTGTCGTGTATTGTGTGTGTCAGGGCTGTGAGGGTTGGACCGTGTGCAGTCGTTGTGAGACGTACAGACCTCCACGAGCTCATCACTGCAGAGTCTGTCAGAGGTGCATCCGCCGCATGGACCACCACTGCCCCTGGTACTACACCTGCTCCTGTCTGCTCCTGTCTGCTCCTGTCTGCTCCTGTCTCTGCTCCTGTCTGCTCCTGTCTCTGCTCCTGTCTCTGCTCCTGTCTGCTCCTGTCTGCTCCTGTCTGCTCCTGTCTCTGCTCCTGTCTCTGCTCCTGTCTGCTCCTGCTCTCTCTGCTCCTGTCTCTGCTCCTGTCTCTGCTCCTGTCTCTGCTCCTGTCTCTGCTCCTGTCTCTGCTCCTGTCTCTGCTCCTGTCTCTGCTCCTGTCTCTGCTCCTGTCTCTGCTCCTGCTCTCTGCTCCTGTCTCTGCTCCTGTCTGCTCCTGTCTCTGCTCCTGTCTCTGCTCCTGTCTCTGCTCCTGTCTCTGCTCCTGTCTCTGCTCCTGTCTGCTCCTGTCTCTGCTCCTGTCTGCTCCTGTCTGCTCCTGTCTCTGCTCCTGTCTCTGCTCCTGTCTCTGCTCCTGTCTGCTCCTGTCTGCTCCTGTCTCTGCTCCTGTCTCTGCTCCTGTCTCTGCTCCTGCTCTGCTCCCTGTCTCTGCTCCTGTCTCTGCTCCTGTCTCTGCTCCTGCTCCTGTCTGCTCCTGTCTGCTCCTGTCTCTCCTGTCTCTGCTCCTGCTCTCTGCCTCTGTCTCTCTCCTGTCTCTCTGCTCCTGTCTGCTCCTGCTCCCTCTGCTCCTGTCTCTGCTCCTGTCTCTGCTCTCTGCTCTGCTCCTGTCTCTGCTCCTGTCTCTGCTCCTGTCTCTGCCTCTCTGCTCCCTGCTCCTGCTCTGCTCCTGTCTCTGCTCCTGTCTCTGCTCCTGTCTGCTCCTGTCTCCTCCTGCTCCTGTCTGCTCCTGTCTCTGCTCCTGTCTGCTCCTGTCTGCTCCTGTCTCTGCTCTCTGCTCTCCTCTCTGCTCCTGTCTCTGCTCCTGTCTGCTCCTGTCTCTGCTCCTGTCTCTGCTCCTGCTCCTGTCTCTGCTCCTGTCTGCTCCTGTCTCTGCTCCTGTCTCTGCTCCTGTCTGCTCCTGTCTCTGCTCCTCTTTTTAATTTTTTTACTTAGAGTTGAGTTTTCTTTGCACACAGACACATGTGTGACAATAACAAACACAAACATCCATTCATTCATGTTTTTTCTCTTCTCCGGGGTCGGGGTCTCGGGGGCATCAGTCTATGGCTACGTTCAGACTGCAGGGTTTAACGCTCAATTCAGATTTTTTTGTGAAATCCGATGTTTTTTCGAGGTCGTTCACATTTCCAGTTAAATGTGACTTGTATGTGACTCCAGTGTGAACATTAAACGGCCCAAAAGTGTCCCACATGTGACACTGGAGACACGACGACGTCAACCGCAGCGAGCGTCTCTGTGTTTACAGAAGTTGTCCAAACATGGACGCAGCATCGAGCACCTGGAGATTTTAAAGTTCCTCTCGTACCGGAGCCAGAACATGAACAACTTACTTGTTTTAAGGAGGAGATTGAGAAGGAGAAGGACGAGGTTTTGGTCGTGGTGTTTTGTGTTCACGTTGAAAGGAACGTGTGGATGTGAGAGTGAGTGGAGATGTGGTAAATGGTCACATTTTTCTTGCTTTTCCACCTTCAAGGCTCAAAGCGCTTTACAACAAGAACCACTCACCCATTCACACACACATTCACACACCAGTTGCAGACACTGCGGGCAAGGTTAAGTGTCTTGCCCAAGGAGGCATTCATCTGTTGGTCTGTGGTGTTGCTTGTGATTTTTATGTGAGCTGGTGGCCAACCTTGAGTGGGCGTGATGTGCTTCACTTCAGTCACACAGAGTTCATTAACAATTTTCTCCTACTTCAGCGCAGAATAGTGACGTTTGTGTCTTGTTGATAACGTGTAGGTGGATGAATGCACTTTGTCCGTTCACACTGAAGTCACATGTTAAAGATCAGATATGTATCAGTTTCAGGAGCACAGATCCAAGTGTCCTGGGTCACATTTGAAAAAAATCTGATCTGTGTGGTTCAGACTGACATTAAAAGATCAGATACAGGAACATAGAGGCCAAAAAATCTGATTTGGGTCACTTCAGGCTGCAGTCTGAACGCAGCCTAAGCAGGGACTCCCAGACTTCCTTCACCCCAGACACTTCCTCCAGCTCCTCCAGAGACCCTGAGGTGTTCCCAGGCCCAGAGACACAGTCCCTCCAGTGTGTCCTGTGTCTCCTCTCGGTGGGACATGAACACGTCCTGAGGGAGGCGTCCAGGAGGCATCAGAACAGACGTCCTCCCCTCAGACGCTCCTCTCCACGTGGAGGAGCAGCGGCTCTACTCCGAGCTCCTCACTCTGTCTCTAAGGGAGACGCCCGGACGCCCTGCGGAGGAAACTCATTTTGTGATCTGGTCCTTTGGGTCACGACCAGAGGTGAGGGGAGGAACGGAGACTGACGCTAAATCCAGACTCAGCTCCTCTTCACCACAACGGTCGGATACAGCGACCGCATCACTGCCCACGCTGCACCTGTCCACCTGTCCACCTGTCCACCTGTCAGTCTCACGCTCCGTCCTCCCCTCACTCCAGAACAAGACCCCGACACACTTGAACTCCTCCACTTGAGGCAGAGACTCTCCACCCGTCTCTCCAAACACACACACACCAAAAGAAAAAAAGATCAGGAGACGTCTGCTGCTCTGTCTTTGCTCCTCTTGTCTGTGCTCTTTATATTATTTACTTTTTTTTTTTTTTTTCTTTAGGATCAATAACTGCGTTGGGGAGCTGAATCAGAAGTATTTTATCCAGTTCCTTTTCTACACAGGTGAGTGGAAACAATAAACAGAATATTTTAGCTGCCGAAAACAGTTTTTAATAATTTATATGAGCTAAAACTACGACTAAAACCTGGAAAGTGCCATAAACATTTACAATATGTTTATGATTTTAACTTATCTCCAAAATGGCAGCATTAAAGGGCCCGTATTTTTTAAAAATCTTTGTTCTAATGTCATTTCCTCGTCACAAACCTGGACCTGGAGTTGTGTTTTGTTTTATTCACATGTTTAACACACAAACTGCACATTCTTCTCTTAAACCGAAAACACTCTGTTCCACCTTGTGATGTCACGTGGTAATACAGGAACTGCTCCATTTTTCTGCTGGTTTAGTCCTGGTTTAGTCCTGGTTTAGTCCTGGTTTTAGACCTGGTTTTAGACCTGGTTTAGTCCTGGTTTAGACCTGATTTAGTCCTTCTTTTAGACCTGGTTTAGTCCTGGTTTAGTCCTTCTTTTAGACCTGGTTTAGTCCTGGTTTAGTCCTTCTTTTAGACCTGGTTTAGTCCTGGTTTAGTCCTGGTTTAGCCCAAAATGTGAAAATACCGCCCTGTAATCCACTTATTTCAATAAAGTAACTGTAATCAAATTACCACTCACTGAAACAGTAACTGTAACTGAATACAGTTACTCATCATTTGTACTCTGATTACATAACTCCAGTACATGAAATCTGTTACTCCCCGACACTGTGTCATTGACTTCAGCAGCGTCGGAGAAACATGGGCAGGTTGTGTTGTGTATTTGGTTGTTCTAGACGCTCTGAAAGGGATAAAATGAATCGTTTCTTCACTGTTCCTCTGGAAATGACTCATCAGGATCAAAACAAGGGAATTATTCGAAAAAAAGACGTGGATTATGTCTAGAAAACATAAACCACGAAGAGATTTCCAATGTTACCATCAAGACACCCGAAGTTTCATCAAGGTATTTGCTATTTAAATTGTTTCATAGTTTATTTAATGAAAGAAGCACATTTACTGAACTAAAATTTCATGAATTAATCCAGGAAAACCTGCACTAGTTTACGATTCAACGAACCCACACTGGGCTCCTGTGATCAACACGACGCACGAGTCGAAGAGTCTGTGAGCCGAACCTCGAAAGAATCGACCACGAAAAGATCCTCGCCAACGTTAGAAAGATCCACACGCAAAAAGAGATTAATTCTAGAAGACAAAGTTGTGGATAAACAAGACAATAAAGAAAACATGGTCCTACGACGAGTGACATGTTTATATGTGTGCTGGAAGAGACAGTTTCTACTGCACACTCACACTGCAAATGTTTTCTTTTTACATTTTAGTTCAGTAAATGTGCTTCTCTCATTAAATAAACTATGAAACAATTTAAACAGCAAACACCTTGATGAAAGTGACGTGAGTGTGTCTTGATGGGACCATTGGAAATCTCTTGGCGGTTTATGTTCTCTAGACATAATTCCTTTTTTTTTTTTTTTGATAATTTCCTTGTTTGATCCTGATGAGTCATTTCCAGAGGAACAGTGAAGAAACGATTCATTTTATCCCTTTCAGAGCGTCTAGAACACAGGTGTCAAACATGCGGCCCGGGGGACAGATCCGGCCCTCCAAGACCTTTAATCTGGCCCTCGGCTGATTTTCTACTAAAATATTTAAATTCTATTTTTTATTAAAATATTGTTAATTTTCAGCGGTGCTTATCTGTACGTGGCCCCTCCCACCAGAGCAGCACAAATGAAGACTTGTCTCTTTCCAAACGCTCTTAAAGGACGATCGTTTTGACTGTTGACCGTGACACCCTCATCAGAAAAATGTCCAACATGAGAAAAGTGAAGCCGAGTGCAGGATTTTACAAACAAAAATTTACTTTTTCCTATTTATACAAGTTAATGTTAAACAAGTTCATGTTAAAACTTTGTGTTGAAATTTATTTTTCTTAAAGTTTCAGGTTGTTCATAATATTATAATATTTTGTAAAAGAAAGAGTTCATCAATTAAAAAAGATTTCTGTAATAGATTTGTGTTTCTCTGCACAAATATTTGAACTCATTGTTATTTTTGGGGTTTATATGACATGAGTTTTCTGATCCGGCCCCTTTGGGATCAAAGTCAGTTGGATACGGCCCCCGGACCAAAATGAGTTTGACACCCCTGGTCTAGAACAACCAAATACACAACAAAACCTGCCCATGTTTCTCAGTGACATAGTGTGTCCGGTGTCACGGCGGCGTAGGTACCGTTGCTGTAGGGTCACGTGACGGTGCAAAGCCTCTATAGAAAGAGAGAGATACACAAACTAACTTCTGTTTTTCTGTTTTCCTCAGGCATGGCGAGCCTGTACTCCCTGGTGCTGGTGGTGTCTGCGTGGGTTTGGAGGATCAGGAGCGAGAGAGAAGGAGACTCAGAGAAGGAGACAGAGGAGTCGCCCAGTAAACACCTGATCGTGTGAGTCCACAAATACAACAAACACAACTTTAAACCAGACCTGTAGCGCTCGTGTGTGTGTCTGTCGTTATAATCTCTGACCCCCGTGGATTATTCTGTTATAACTGTGACATTTTAAGTCACGATGTTGATCTAAAACGACGTAATAAAAGAAACAACCGCACTGACTTCCGCGTTAAAGCCGTCGCACACTACAGGATTTTTCGGTCTTGAATGATTTTTAAACTTGCGACAAAATTTACTTATGACATTTTCAATCTCTGATCTCAAAAAGTGCAGCGGGATCTGTTTGTGAACCACAGGATATAAACCTGTGCGTGTGACCTCGTCAGCTGTTTCCTGTCGACAGTAAAACCGCTCGCTCTGAGACTCTGAAGTGTTCAAAGATCAGACTCTGCACTTCTAGTTTAGATACAAGACAAAACTGTGGTATTATTATTATTATTTGTGAAATGTGGAGCAAAACTTCAGATACAGGATTTTTAAAGCGTGAAAGATTAGAGATAAATCCACAGGAAGAAGAGTCACTGTGGAGAATCTGAGTCACTGTGGAGTCCTGCACGGGTCCATTTTTAACTCTTTCCCCCCTCGACGCCGACGAGGAACAACCCAGACATATGTTACTAGTTCTGCCCTTAGAACATAAGTGCATAAAAGAAAACAGACCACCACGAGTGATTATAAATGATTTTTACACTCATGAACTTAATTGTAACACAGACATATTTGTATCTCTGGAAACTTTAGACTCTGAACTCTTCATTTCTGGATGTTTAAATGTGATTCAACTCATTTACAGGTTTATAACAGCTCACTGAAAATGAGAGTTTACCTGCTCAGGTGCAGAATCGAAAACAAAAAACTACATTCAGCATCTGATATCTGCATGTTCTGAGTACTGTATTCATAAAAAAAAAAATTTAAATATACTTTGTCAAAGTATTTAAACAGATTTCATATCATCAGATACAGTAAAGCCAAGTGTGCACCTGTTTTTACCTGTTGTTCACCTGTGTGCACCTCATTAATTTTTTCCATTTAATTTATTCAACTCATTCAGCTTATTATAATATAATAATATAATAATAAAACTCTTCCTCGTCAGTGTGTGTCCAGTATTTGTCATCTTTGTTATTTTCTCATGTGCAGAGCTCCACATAAACGTTTGTTTCTGTAGTGATTCTGTTACATCGCATCTTGGAAAAAAAGACTGAAATATTTTAAAGGACTCGCCTGAGCAACATCCAGATTTCAGGGCAGTTTTGGTTCATAATCGAGTATAAAGCTCAGATAGTTTGTTTGGACATCGCAGGACTCCACACAGACGCATCATTCTCATCTTCGTAAGTTTCACTCTCTGAAAGTCCGTCGCTGTCGCTGTTTTCCACTTTATAATCAACTTCATCATCACTTTTGAAATCTATAAAAGTCACTTTCTCTAAACTTATCCATAAAATACGTCCGCTCCTCATTATTTCTAAAACTGTGCGCCGCGATCTTTCCATTGCTCCTGTTTCGTGTTGTGTTTTTTCCGAAAGCTACAATCGTCACTACTTTGATTAACTTCGGAAAAAATCGGCGAAAACATGTCCTTGAATCCTATTGGTCAGTCTAGTGTGGGTTGTAGTGGCCCCGACCTGTCACAGTCTCTGTTTACATGTGAAAAACCGAGTCGTTTCTAATGGTCGTCAAATCACGTCTTTAGTGAAACAGCGGAGGAGACAAAAGACGACATTAAGGAAACGAGGAGGGTCGTCAAAAGTCGTCTTCATGGGGGAAAGAGTTAAAGACCCGCACCCTCCCGTTAACCCGAGATAAAACACACACAGATTAAAAACATTCTAACTGAAGCGTCCATCGGGATACAAACTGAAACGTTGCGACTTCAAGAATTAAAATCACGAAATGAAATAAAACAGTTTCACTTTCTTCAGTACAAAGACGAATTCACAGACGCGACTCGACTGTCAAAACTTCACAGGATTTATTTATTGAGCAGAAGAAACACTGATCGCGATGCTGCACTTTTGCCCGGCACACGCCATGGATCAAACCAGGACTAACCCGGGACTAACCTAGAACTGATTCCAGGACTAAACCAGGAGGATTAAACCAGGACTGAACCAGGACTGAACTGTTGGGACGGGCTCGGAGGTGCGCCCGTGTAGACTATCAGGTGACCGCAGGAGGAAGGACCAGCGCAGAACTTCACGCCCCTACAACTACAACAATAAACGTTAAAAAGCTCACATAATAGGTCTGTCTTAAAGCTACATCCTGCAGCTTTAATATAGGCTACGTTCAGACTGCAGGGTTTAACGCTCAATTCCTATTTTTTTGTGAAATCCGATGTTTTTTCGAGGTCGTTCACATTTCCAGTTAAATGTGACTTGTGTGTGACTCCAGTGTGAACATTAAACGGCCCGAAAGTGTCCCACATGTGACACTGGAGACACGACGACGTCAACCGCAGCGAGCGTCTCTGTGTTTACAGAAGTTGTCCAAACATGGACGCAGCATCGAGCACCTGGAGATTTTAAAGTTCCTCTTGTACCGGAGCCACAACATGAACAACTTACTTGTTTTAAGGAGGAGATTGAGAAGGAGAAGGACGAGGTTTTTGGTGGTGGTGTTTTGTGGTGAGTGGAGATGTGCTTCACTTCAGTCACACAGAGTTCATTAACAATTTTCTCCTACTTCAGCGCAGAATAGTGACGTTTGTGTCTTGTTGATAACGTGTAGGTCGAATGAAACAAATTTCATTTTATTTAATGATAAAAAGAAAAAAGACAACATAACATTAGAAATAGATGGATACAGATTCAAAGAGTAAATGAAACCAAATTTTTAGGAGTTATGATTGATGAAGGTCTAAACTGGAGTTTGTCTCATATAAATGACACAAAAGGCAATATTTCCAAAGCCACGGCTGTTCTGCATAAAATAAAGTTCTCACTAAATATTACAGCATTATTAACTTTGTTTAACTCTATAATTGTACCAGATCTGATGGACTGTGTGGAAATTTGGGGTTCAACATGTAAAACTCACCTACAACCTTTATTTATTTTACAAAAAAGGGCCTTGAGAATCATCACCAACAGACTTTATACTGTAGAGAGACGTCCAGCCCAATATTTACTCAACTTAAAGTGTTGAAAATGCAGGATACTGTCGACTTAAGTCTCCTCAAAGTCGTGTATAAAGCAAAGTGCAGAGTGTCACCTGTAAATATTCAAAAACTGTTTGAGATGAGAACAAAACACTACAATTTAAAAGGAACCGACATGTTTAAAAAACCCAGATTCAGAACCAAGTTTATGGAGCGAAGCGTCGCTGTGAAAGGAGTTAAACTTATGGAAAAGTCTTGACAAAGAAATAAAAGAATCAAGTACAATGACGACATTTAAAAAACATATAAAATCAAATGCAGTGTGTTTGTATGAAAAAGAAAACTAAGTTGTTGTGTATAATAATGAAGATTTACTGTTTGCAATTGATCAGTAATTGTGCCTGAACTGATTTGGAATGTTTCGTAACCATCAGTGTTGATGTTTTGTCTTGAAAAAGGAAAAGGGGGGCAGATAACATAAGATTTTTTTCTTCTTTCTGCTCCTTTTCATTCATTTCTTGTGTGTTTGATGTTGTGACACTGTCGATGTCTTTTTATGCTTTATGAATGAAATAAATAAATAAATGCGCTTTGGTCCGTTCACACTGAAGTCACATGTTAAAGATCAGATATGTATCAGTTTCAGGAGCACAGATCCAAGTGTCCTGGGTCACATTTGAAAAAATCAGATCTGTGTGGTTCAGACTGACATTAAAAGATCAGATACAGGAACATAGAGACAAAAAATCAGATTTGGGTCACTTCAGGTGCAGTCTGAACGCAGCCATAGTTTCAGTCTAAAAATGGTTTTCTCGTTTGACTGATTGTGTTTGTGATTCAGGGCTCACTACATCATTCTTCTGGTGGAGTCGGTGCTGTTCGGAGTCTTCGTCATGGTCATCTTCTACGACCAGGTAAAGGAGGACGATTCATTTTGTATTTAAAGGTCTTTTATTACGCAAAACTGACTCTTGTGAGCTTTAAGTCGTGTTCTGATGCTCTTACATTGCAAAAAAAGCTTGTCCAAACTTTTAATTCTAAACACTTAAAAGTTGAAATGATGTGTCCATGCAGCAAGATCATTTTACTGGACAAGTTTTCTTAAAATTAAAAATGAGTAAATAGAAAATAAATCTGAAAACAAGATGAATAACCTGATTTAAGTTTTAAAATCTTGGCCAAATCAGTGAAATGTGCAGAGTATTGAAGTTACAGTACTGTTACTTGAGTAAAAGTTGTGCTTGAGTGAATCTAAAGTGACAAACGCTGCAGTTCTCCCAAATGTCCAGCAGATGTCAGTAACTCCCTAACCTCACGTGTGTGTGTGTGTTTGTGTGTTTGTTTCCTGTCCTCAGCTGGTGTCGATAATCACAGACGAGACGCCCATCGAGCAGATGAAGAACAGGCTGATGCTCAAAGACAGAAGCTCCGCCCCTTCGTCCTCGTCGTCGTCGCAGTCGAACAATCACACGCCTCACACCAGGAAGCCCAAACTCGCCCTGCTGCGAGAGGTCTTTGGCAGAGGTCTGTGTTTGTGAAATTATTTAAAAATATCTCGCTGTTCGATTCATTCATTTTCTGATTTCTGTTCTAAAGTCGTTTCCTCGTCACAAACGGACCTGGAGCTGAGTTTTGTTTCATTCTCACATGTTTAATTAACACACAAACACATTTGCACATTTTTAGACGTCGAGTTCTTCTCTCAAACCCGAAAACACGCTGTTCCACCTTGTGATGTCATCATGTGGAAATATAAGAAGTGCTCCATTTTGTTTTTAAACTCCTCACACCTTCACGAGAATCATTTGGATCATTTCAGCCCTGGAGCTGCCCATTTCCTGGTTTACTGGTTTAAGTCCTGGTTTAAAGTTCCTGGTTTAAAAGTCCTGGTTTAAAGTCCTGGTTTAGTCCTGGTTTAGTCCTGGTTTATGGTTTAGTCCTGGTTTAGTCCTGGTTTAGTCCTGGTTTAGTCCTGGTTTAGTCCTGGTTTACTGGTTTAGTCCTGGTTTAGTCCTGGTTTAGTCCTGGTTTATCCTTGGTTTAGTCCTGGTTTGCCTGGTTTAGTCCTGGTTTAGTCCTGGTTTAGTCCTGGTTTCTGGTTTAGTCCTGGTTTAGTCCTGGTTTAGTCCTGGGTCCTGGTTTCAGTCCTGGTTTAGTCCTGGTTTGGTCCTGGTTTAGTCCTGGGTCCTGGTTTTCCTGGTTTAGTCCTGGTTTAGTCCTGGTCCTGGTTTAGTCCTGGTTTAGTCCTGGTTTAGTCCTGGTTTAGTCCTGGTTTAGTCCTGGTTTAGTCCTGGTTTAGTCCTGGTCCTGGTTTGGTCCTGGGTCCTGGTTTAGTCCTGGTTTAGTCCTGGTTAGTCCTGGTTTAGTCCTGGTTTTCAGTCCTGGTTCAGTCCTGGTTTCCAGTCCTGGTCTGGGTCCTGGTTTCAGTCCTGGGTCCTGGTTCAGTCCTGGTTTAGTCCTGGTTTGGTCCTGGTTTAGTCCTGGTTTGGTCCTGGTTCAGTCCTGGGTCAGAAGTCTCCAGTAGCAGTTGCCCGTTTCAGGTTGGTGACGTCGCTCGGGGGTGTGCATTCATGCATGTCTGTGGCGGAATGTTCAGCGGTTACCGTGGTGACGCAGCGCACACGTTGGCAAACACAGCCAAAAAAGTTTCAACATTTTCCAAGAACTAAAACAAAATAAATAAATAAATAAATACAAAAGTGATTTAAAGAGCGCGTTTTCATTTCCCCGTGGTCAGTGCGAGCGTCAGACAGAACAGTGCCTCCAGTTAGCGTGGATGACATCGGCGGTAAAGCACCGGCGGGACTGCGTTACAGATGTGTTTATTTTTACGCACAAACTGCTTTAACCGAACGTCCGAGGAGGGAGGGAGGGGGACGCCGCCTTATGGTTTCACTCCGATAAAAGACGTATTTATAAAACCAAAAAACAACTTTGAAAACTACCACTTCATGACATCACAAGGTGGAACAGAGCGTTTTGAGCTTTGCAGATGCAGACAGACTAATAATAAAGAGTTACTCAAACATGTGGATGAAACAAAACACAAATCCAGATCTGTTTTTGACGAGGAAACAACATTAGAACACGACTTAAACTTCACAAGAGTCCGTTTTGTTTAATATTGGACCTTAAAGAGACACTAAACACCAGCATCACTTTTTTCTCCTGATTCTCTGTGTAAATGTGTATAAAACAGAAGTGTATCTTTATCCCTAGACTTATTTTGGCATTCTGGTGCGTATTTGGTAAAAGTCGTACTTTTGGCTCAAAGTCAAAGTGTCTGTAGGATCAACTGCGGCGGGACATTTCAGTTTCATTTTCAGTTTGGACTAAACGACGCCGATGAATCAGATGCACGTGACGAGCGCAGACACTGGCGTCTACGGGCGGACGTGAGGAGCCCGTCTCAGCCCCGCCCCAACCTGCCCCGACCTGGCACCGCCATGTCCCGCCGTGTCTGGAGAAAAGGGAAACGACGTGATCCGAGCACAAATGTCAAATGTCTGTTTCATTAGTCGACTGTCAATCATCACTCCTCGTTGAAATAACCTCAGATTTTCACTGAATGTTTAGAAACAGATCAAGATTTTATATCTTATGTTTTATTTTAAATAAAACATAAGATATAAAAAGATAAAACCAAACCAGGAATAAAAATTTTGATCTGTTTTGACTAAACCAGGACTGAACCAGGACCAAACCAGGACTAAACCAGGACTAACCAGGACCAAACCAGGACTGAACCAGGACCAGGAACCAGGACTAAACCAGGACCAAACCAGGACTGAACCACAGGACTGAACCAGGACCAAACCAAACCAGGACTAAACCAGGACTGAACCAGGAACCAGGACCAAACCAGGACTAAACCAGGACCAGGAACCAGGACCAAACCAGGACTAAAACCAGGACTGAACCAGACCGAGACTAAACCAGGACTAACCAGGACTAAACCAGGACTAAACCAGGACTGAAACCAGGACCAAACCAGGACTAAACCAGGACTAGGAACCAGGACTAAACCAGGAACCAGGAACCAGGACCAACCAGGACTAAACCAGGAAACCAGGGAACCAGGACCCGAACCAGGACCAAACCAGGACTAAACCAGGACTGAACCAGGACCAAACCAGGAAACCAGGACTAAACCAGGACTGAACCAGGACCCAAACCAGGACTAAACCAGGACTAAACCAGGACTAAACCAGGACCGAACCAGGACTAAACCATGTAATGTTTTATTTAAAATAAAACATAAGATATAAAATTTTGATCTGTTTCTAAACATTCTGTGAAAATCTGAGGTTATTTCAACAAGAACTGACGAAATTATTGGCCTGCGAAACTGTAAAATCTTTGGGACACCCTGTATTTGTGGATAATTTAATATTTATTTTGTTTTTTGTCGACAGAGCTTCTAAATAATCAGTATTTTTTTATCAAGCGTGGAAAAAAAAAACAGTAAATCTGGACTAATTTCTTTCTCTTTCTGTGTTTCTGGCCCAGGTTCTGTTTTGTGCTGGCTGCTCCCGCTCCACACCAGCCCTCCCTCCGTCGGCGGCATCACGTACTCCGCCCTCCCCGACTACGACGTCTGACCTCTGCCGCCGCCTCCGACCTCCGACCCCTGCGCCCGCGAAACCCCCAACGCACTGACAGGTTTTATACGAGCGCGCGCGAATGTGTGAACCAGCGTCTGCACTGCAAAAACACGACCCGGACCCGGACTCAAACGGACTTCACCGGTCCGCGAGGGGAAACGGCTCGGACGCGCTCGCTCACACGTCACGATTTATTATGATAACGACGAGTAAAAAGGTCAGAAAGTGGAGAAATATCGATACGAGGGACGGGACGAGAGCTCAAAAGGCAAGATCTCGCGAGACAAAGTCGGCACGAGATCATTTTTCTCACAAGTTTAGGGGTTTAACTTTGCAGAGTAACTCGTCTTGAGAAGCTGGAATTCCAAAAAAACAGCAAAACTATAAAACGAAATGAAGCAGAAACTGTGAAGTCAGAATTTCCGTGTTTTTCGGACTATAAATTGTGCCGGAGTTTAAGTCGGACCAGCCAAAAAATGCATAATGAAGAAGAAAAAAACAAATATAAATCGCAGTTTTTTGGGGGGAAATGTATTTTATAAAATCAGAGACCAGGAGCCGACATTTCCAGTGTAAAGTCAAGTTCTAGTAATAGTTTTAGACCTGGTTTAGACCTGGTTTAGATCTTGGTTAGATCTTGGTTAGATCTAGTTAAGATCTGGCTTTGACTTGGTTTAATCCAGGTCCTGATTCTGATTATGGTTAGACCTGGTTTAGACCTCAGTTAGACCTAGACCTGGTTTAGGACAGCTTCCAGTTCAGACCTGGTTTAGTCCTGGTTTAGACCTTGGTTAGACCTCAGTTAGACCTGGTTTAGACCTAGTTTAGACCTGGTTTAGACCTGGTTTAGACCTGGTTTAGACCTGGTTTAGACCTGGTTTAGACCTGGTTTAGACCTTGGTTAGACCTAGTTTAGACCTTGTTCAGACCTAGTTTAGACCTGGTTTAGACCTTGGTTTAGACCTTGGTTTAGACTTGGTTTAGACCTGGTTTTAGACCTGGTTTAGACCTGGTTTAGACCTGGTTTAGACCTGGTTTAGACCTGGTTTAGACTTGGTTTAGACCTGGTTTAGACCTTGTTTAGACCTTGTTTAGACCTAGTTTAGACCTAGTTTAGACCTAGTTTATATCTTGTTTAGACCATGTTTAGACTTGGTTTAGACCTGGTTTAGACCTGGTTTAGACCTCAGTTAGACCTCAGTTAGACCGTGTTCAGACCTAGTTTAGACCTTGGTTTAGACCTTGGTTTAGACCTTGGTTTAGACCTGGTTTAGACTTGGTTTGACCTAGTTTAGACCTAATTTAGAACTTGGTTAGACCTGGTTTAGACCTGGTTTAGACCTGGTTTAGACCTAGTTTAGACCTAATTTAGACCTGGTTTAGACCTGGTTTAGACCTGGTTTAGACTTGGTTTAGACCTGGTTTAGACTTGGTTTAGTTTAGACCTGGTTTAGACCTTGGTTTAGACCTGGTTTAGACTTGGTTTAGACCTGGTTTAGACCATGTTTAGACCTAGTTTAGACCTAGGTTTAGAACTTGGTTAGACCTAGTTTAGACCATGTTTAGACCATGTTTAGACCTGGTTTAAACCTAGTCTAGACCTTGGTTAGACCTTGTTTAGACCTATAGTCCGAAAAATACGATATATCAAAATCTCGTCTTGACTCGTTCTCGTGAGCCGAATCTCGTCTTGTAGAAACTGTGTCTCGTCCCATCCCTAATCGATACCTGCTCAAGTATCTAGTTTCGATACTAGTTTTGGTATCGATTAGTGTCTTATTTTCGATACTTTTGACAGCCCTACATTGGACTACATGATAAATATCGAAAAGGAAAAAGTTTTCAGTCAGCGTCAGAGTTTTATCGGCTCTTTTTCACTCTCTTGTCTTGGTTAAACTGACAAGAAATGCATCCGATATTGAAAAAACGTGCTGAAAACCTTGAATTCCGATTAAACAAATGATTCTACATCGATAAACGTTTTACCAAATGTTCAGAAAAATAAAGTATTACCAGTAAAAGGGCAAAAAAAAAACATGAAATGAGAGAGTGTGTCCAGACTTTTGACCGGTCGTGTAAATATTTTAAACTATCCTGAAGTGTTTTTGCAGTGTAGATTCAGTGTCTTAACTCGGGACCAGTTGAATGAATGAATATTAAAGGTGCATTGCGTAACTTTCCCGGCGGAGGCGCTGCTGCCCGTTCGCCTTCGTCGTTCAAACGTGTTTTATCGCTCGGCCTGAATGTTCCACAGCGAGAGGCAAACCCGCACTTTTTCGACGCACTTTTGATGAGCGGAAAAAAAAAAAAACTAACAAAAAACACAAAATTGTATACATATTTGATAACTGTTTAATGCCGTAGTGTGGAACATTTCTGGCAACAACAAACCCGGGCGCAGTGACGACCTCAGCCGGAAAAGTTGCGCAGTGAGGGAATCGTTTACTGTGAATAGTTCCAGTTACTGAATCATGTTATTGTAACTTATTTATTTTTGTGTTTTTTATGCAACTGATTTCCTTATTTGCTTTTAAAATTTGACTTTTTTTTGTTTGTACCGCACACAATAAGAAGGATCAAAAACTACGAACTAAAGTCAGAACCAAATTTGAGTGTTTTTAAAGAGGGGGTGTTACGCAAAACGGTTTATACCACGAATTTGCATATTTTTTTTCTCAGGATCCATATTCTGAAAGTGACAAACCTTCGCGACCCAAGTCAATAGAAATTATTCATCATTATTAATCACAAAATAAAGTTGATTTGAGCATTATTGAACATTCGTGAGGATATTTGTAACACTTTATAATAACTACACCTTACATAGCCTTAATAAAGCATGAACAAAGATTTAATTAATAATGATTCACGCTTACTAAATGCTTAATAAAGCATAATTCATCTTCACTTTAGAAAAGCTCTCAAAAAGACTTAACTAACAGATAACAGCTGCTGGAATGATCATTGCATTATTAGTAAATCATTCTCTCATAGCTTATTAATCATTAATAAATGCTCAGATGGTTACTTCATGAGTAATTAAGTATGAAATAATTATGAGTAACTATTTACAGCACAGGTGAATTAAGTGCAAGTGCTGAATTAAGGTAGTAATTAAGTAATTACTAAGCGTGAATCATTGTTAATTAAGTCTTTGTTCATTATTAATTAAGTCTTTGTTCATGCTTTATTAAGGCTAAATAAGGTGTAGTTATTATAAAGTGTTACCGGATATTTTATTGTTGACCAAGTCGTGTCTCTGAACAGTTAGTATTAGTTAAGTTTTAAACGATGAAAAACACTGAAGCAGCAATAAAAGGTTCCATAAGTCACATTTTTGGAAATTTAGAAATTTAAATTTTTCTTTTCAACCTTCAATTGAACCAGCAATATTGGAACAAAACAGTCAAGAAAATAATGACCGTATTTTCCGGGCTATTAGTCGCTCTGGAGTATAAGGCGCACTGTCATTAAATGGTCTATTTTTAAACTTTTTTCACAAATCCAACAAAATCCGACGTTTATGAAAGCTGGATGCCCTGTCAGATGAACACACGCAGCTTGATTTCACAAAAAATGCGTTGCGCTCTGTGGGAGATTTTCTTTTTTAGGCCCAAACTCCCCTGAGCTGCAGTACCTGGAGCCGCCACTAGAGGGCGGAGGCTCTTATCCAGTTTTTATTAAAGCTCCATGGTAGAATGTAGGACCAGCTTCATTTAAAACACTGAAATATTAGAAGATATTTTGGACATTTACGGACAGTGGACAGGCTTTTCAGATTCACAGGTGAGACATTTCAGTTTGTCGCCGCGGTAACAGCGAAATAAACAAAATTAACAAATAAACAACGACGACTGCGTTAAAACTGCACAACGCACGACCCCTCATCGTTTACTACTTGATTATTTTAGTCACAATTTGAGCTTTCTCCCATGTCCCTTGTCAAAAACCTGCCTGAAGACGTTTTCGATGCACGTCTGAGTAATCTAGTGATCTCTCCCGGGCCTTATTGCAAACCCTCCGACGTTCCCCATTCTCCGTAAATATACAAAAACACGATACAAAAACTGCGCACCGCGACTCCGCAAATTTGATGTGGCGTGACGGCGCTCTGAAGGGGGAGTGACTTAACAGAGAGAGCAAACACGGTGATGTTAAATATGTTATGTGTTAGCGGTTAATCCCCCCTCTTTAAAAGTCTCAACAGAAATAACGGTTTAGTGGAAAAAAAAAACAAAAACTGAGCAGGTTTTATCGATGTCGTCGCACAAAATGGCTTCCCTCAGTTGTTTTTGTTTTTCTGCCTTTTTGATTCTTCTTGTTTACTCAAAAGTTACGATTTATTTGCCTGTCTGTGTTTGTTTATGATAAATACGTGGGGATTATTATAGGCACTACTTTACTTTGGTGTTTTAAAGAGTTAAAGGGCCAACGTGACGCCGTTTTCTGATCTGTTTCTTCGTCAAAAAAACACAAACCTGGAGTTGTGTTTTTGTGTTTTTGTGTTTTATTTTCATGTTTAACTCACAAACTCTGCACGTTTAGGCCGAGTTCTTCTCTCAGAAAACTGAAAACGCTCTGTTCCACCTCGTGATGTCATGTGGTGACAGAGGAAGGAAGTGCTCCACTGTTTTTTTTTTTTAGTTTTTTTTCCTTTTTATTTACTACAATAATAAATACTGCAACAAAACAACTACTACTAATACAACTACAAATACTATAACAACAACTACTACAACAACAGTTACTACAACAAATACTACAACAAAACACCTACTACTACAACTACAAATACTATAACAACTACCACTACAACAACTACTACAATACCTACAACTACAACTATAACAACTACTACAACTACTACAACTACTACAACAAACACACTGCTACTACTACTAACAACAACTACTACAACAACATACTACAACAAAATACTACAACAAAACACCTACTACTACAACTACAATACTATACAACAACTACTACTACTACAACAATACTAACAAACACTACTACTACAACTACACTACTAAACAACTACTACAACAACTACTACAACTGCTACTACAACAACAGATACTACAACAACAAACAACTACTACTACTACAACTACAAACTACTACAACACTACAACTACTACTACAACAACTAACTCAACACTACTACAACTACTACAAAACTACTACTACAACTACTACAACTACTACAACAACTAACAACTACACTACAACAACTACAACAGCTACTACAACTACTACAACTAACAAACTACACACTACTACAAACAACTACTACTACTAAAAACTACTACAACTACACTACTACTAACAACTACTACAACTACTACAACACAACTACAACTACTACAACAACTACAACAACTACTAAAACAGCTACTACAACTAGTACTGCTACTACTACTACAACTACTACAACTACTACAACACTACAACTACTAAAAACTACTAAACTACTACAACTACTACTACAATAGACAACTACTACTACTACAACTACTACAACTACTACACACTACTACAACAACTACAACAACTACTAAAACAGCTACTACAACTAGTACAACTACTACTACTACAACTACTACAACTACTACAACAACTACAACAACTACTACAACTACTAAAAAAGCTACTACAACTAGTACAACTACTACTACTACTACTACTACTACTACTACTACAACAACAATTATTACAGCAACAACTATAACAAATACTGCTACTACAACAACTACTACTACTACTACTACTACAATTTCAACCACAACTCCAAAAACAACTACTACTACAACTATAACAAATACTGCTACTACTACTACTACTACTACAACTACAATACTGCTACTCACAACAACTACTACTAAACTATAACAAATAC